ATAAAGGTGTATATAAATTACCTGATTTGAAGGTTAAGGTATGGAGATGATGATTAGAGAAGACCCAAAAAAAAATTAATAGTAAAATTAAGAATATAAAGATTTCAATTCAATGTGAAATGATCATAGAGTAGAAGTTTGGTGGGTCGCAAATTATGAAACGCAAGTGGAGCTGCTATATAGTGTCTGATGGAGCAGTATAAACTCCTGTGCGCCCCTTTACGACTTCCCACTATAATTGGAATGATTTAATTTTGGTTAATCCAAAGTTTTTGACTCCGGAAAAAGGTGGAAAAAAAATTCACGGCCAAATATTTAATTCTTCGTATAAATTTATGTGATATTATTTAATTTGGCACAGAGTTTGTACTTCCTACTAGTGATATTTTAGACTTTTCATTTTTATTTCAAAATAAGTTATTTGTTAGGATTTTCAACGTTTCAAGAAGGAATTGATCTTATTCTTTCAAATGTATTCTTAGTTCAATATATAAAGTTTTACATCATTAAAGAGTCGGGCATTTAATTTGGGGTAGGGAAGACAATTGGATGGGTTGGGTCAAATTTGAACGGATTATAATGGGTAAAGATTCAACCCAAATCGCCCCCAAGGCCTAGCTCAAGTGGCAAAAGGTGGAGGATTTGTGGCTTAGGTCGCAGGTTCAAGCCCCACACCATGCAAAGCGAAGCCCGGTATTTAAGTGGAGAAGGGTAGAGGGGCGGGCCCATTATCCACCGAGTTTAGAAGGCTGTGATTGGTCCAAAGGGCGGGTCACAGACGGATTTCTCGGTTATCAAAAAAAAAAGATTCAACCCAAATCAAATTTGTTTGGTTCAAAATGGATTTGATAATGAGTTATAGAACATGTCAAAACCTAATACAATTCAATTTTTACTAAGTTTTAATTATTTTATTTATTGTTTTACGATTTTTAGTGTCTGATGAAATTAATATTTTTTCTTTGTTATAACTATGTATATAACACATTAAATTTAAAAATATTTTTGAAAGATTTTCCTCGAGTCAATTTGGGTTACATATCAACCTAATTGTTAATAGATTGATTTAAAATAGGTTAAGCAAATAAATGTGTAAGTCAATAACCCACTCAAACTTAAACGTATTGGACGAATTGGATTTGATTTTGTCCTTCCTAATTAGGGGGTAGAACACTCCTTATTTTCTAGCAAGGAGTAATTTCTTAAATGGTGTGCTTAAGCTAAAATCATTACTTATTTGGGAACAAAAGGAGTAATTTAAAACAAACCTTAATATTCTCTACATATTTGTCTCACGACAATTATTTCATTAAAGGTAAAAATAAAATTTTAAAATTAAATTATTTCTATTTATAAAAAATAAAAAAGGACATTCTTTTTTAAAATGATTTTTTTTTTTTAAAAAAAAAGAAGGTATTGCATATAAATTAAGAGAAATGAAATGTCAAACTATTGGCCATTTAGTTTACCAAAGTTACCCAGTTCCTTATTTCTAACCAACTTTGCCCCAAATTTGTTTATCCTTTGAAATATGTTTTCAGCCCCAACTAAAATCCCATCTTTTCTACTTTTCAGCTCTCCTCTATCACACACTTTCACTTTTCATTTCGAATTAGATTTGAGTTAAATTTTAGATTTGTATTTTTCGAGTTTAATAGTTATATAAATTGAGTGTTGTTAAGTTGATTTTAAGTATCAAGAAGATTAAAAATTTGATTTCAGACCACTAAATCGTTGAGAAGATAATTCAAGATTTAAAAATTCTTTTAATAAGAAAATACAAATATTAGTATGATTATTTGAGGTTTAGTTTAAACAGAACTCTTCCTAGAAGGTAGCTTGGCTACATATATTAAGTGCTCTTCTAATATTTGTAAGGGATAGTTTTAAATATATACGAAAAATTGATTAATTTACAATAAATATTATCATATTTTTATTTACATAAAAAATAGTCAGAAGTTATAGAAAGTATACATTAACTATATATTATGATACACTAAAAAAAGCTAAATATAACCTACCCATACATTAGTTATACATAAAATATACATTATAATACACTCAAAAAGTTGAATATAGCTTAACTATACATGAAATTTATATTGACTAGACATGCATTCTACACTGACTATTTAATTTTGACCAACTCAAAATCTTCTCTAAACAGTCTCAAATTTCATAGAAATCCTCTCAATAATTCAAATCTTTTGATAAATAATTTTTTTGTAAACAATTCATATTTACAACACGTCAATTATCCCCCCGGTCCCCTTTAACTTTTGTCCTTTCCTTCTTCGTCCCTTCTCTTAATCCAAATCATATATATCACTTATGGTAAAATTAATTTTTTTAAAATTAAACCCTTCTAATATAATGTCACAATGAGAGAGTAATAATTTTAAAGAAACCAACAAGGGTTGTGGTGGAGTGGTAAGTACTCCTTCGTTCTTAATCAAGAGGGATCTCGGGTTCGAGCCTCCTTGGGTACGAAATCGTCTTTATTATTTTTCGACTAGTATCTATCATACTTATTGAACTTTTTGATATTATATTATACCTATGAATTTTTTTTCATGATATATTTTCTTATAGAAAGATGTTTATGTTGAATTCTTAAAAGAAATCATGCTACAATAATTTTTATATCGATATATAATTTTTATTTGCATATCATATAATTTTTTTAATCAAATATAAACATTTAAAATATTTTTTTTTATTAAAAAGTAATATTATTGAAATGAAAATATATAATATTTTATTGATATTATGTTTAATTTCATATGCATATTCAGATATTGAAAACAAGCAATCTTAATTATTTAGTGTTCAGATCTAGAGACCACATCTTAATATTCAGATCTAGACATCTAGATCTTAATGCACATCTTAATATTCAGATGCTTATTCAGATTCAAACGTCTTAATCTTAATGGAAACAAATGAGGCCTTAGTTGGAATTATTTATTTTTGGTTAATCCAATGTTCAACTCCGAAAAAAGGTGAAAAAATTCATGGCCAAATACTGCATTCGTTCACTCTTACTTATTACTTATTCCTAAAATAAATTTTTATTTTTACATGTCACTTTTGACATATCAAGAAATCACAATTATATTTTTCCATATTTTGCTCTCAACATTAAATACTCTTGGACCAAGACTTAATACTAAACATCATTTAATAGGGATATTTTTGGTAAAATACCTATGTCAATAACTGTTTTCTTAATGAGTGTGTCAAATCAAACAGTGACAAATACAAAATGAATGGAAAGAGTATTTAACTCTGCCACTAAATTTATGTGATATCATTTAATTTGGCATAAAGTTTATACTTCCTACAAGTATTATTTTAGACTTTTCATTTTTATTTCAAAATAAGTGATTTGTTAGGATTTCACCGTTTTATGAAGGAATTGATCTTATTCTTTCAAATTTATTCTTAGTTCAATACATACAATTTCACATCATTAAAGAGACTTTTTTTTCTGAGACATTTAATTTTGGGTAGGGACGACAATTGGACGGGTTGAGTCAAACTTGAGTGGATTATAATGGGTCAAGACTCAACCCAATTCAAATTTGTTTGGTTCAAAATGGATCAAGTAATGAGTTATAGAACGGGTCAAGACCTAATACAATTCAATTTTTACTAAGTTTTCATTATTTTATTTATTGTTTTACGATGTTTAGTGCCTAATAATTTTTTTTTGTAATTATAACTATAGATAACATATCAAATTTAAAAATATTTTGAAAGATTTCTCTCGAGTCAATTAGGGTTACATATCAACCTAATTGTTAATAGATTGATTTAAAATAGGTTAAGCAAATAAATGTGTTAGTCAATAATCCGCCCGAACTTAAACGTATTGGATGAATTGGATTTAATTTTGTCCTTCCTAATTAGGGGTAGAACACTCCTTATTTTCGTTGAGAAGTAAAGATCATTCGAGATTTAGAAATTCTTTTAATAAGAAAATACAAATATATATTAGTATGATCATTTGAGGCCTAGTTCAAACAGAACTCTTCTTAGAAGGTGGCTTGGCTACCTAGATTAAGTGTTCTTCTAATATTTGTAAGGGATAGCTTCAAATATATAATGATGAATTTATAATAAATATACCAATGTTTTTATTTACATTAAAAATAGTCAAAAGTTATAAAATGTATACATTGACTATATATTATGATACACTAAAAAAAAGCCAAATATAACTTACCTATACAGTAGCTATACACAAAATATACATTATGATACACTTAAAAAAAATTGAATATAGGGGGTCGTTTGGTTGGGAACAAGTTATCCCAGGATAAGTTATCTTGGGGTTAGCTATCTTGAGATAACTTATCCCACCATGTATATGGGATACCTTATCCTATCACTATGATATAAATGGTGGGATAAGTTATCCCAAACATGTCAACCAAACAAGATAAATTTTTTTTATCCCATCACTATTATTTTTAATCTCTCACACCAAACAAGACATGAATTAAACACCGACTATTTAATTTCGACCAATTCAAAATCTCCTCTAAACAATTCCAATTTTTTAGATATGAAATCCTCTCAATATTTCGTATCTTTTGATAAATAATTTTTTGTAAACAATTCATGTTTACAACACGTCAATTATCCCCTGGGTCCCCTTTAACTTTTGTCTGTTTCTTCTCCGTCCCGTCTTGTCCCCCTTGACACACTTAATCCAAATCATATATCACTTTTGGTAAAATTTAATTTTTTAAAATTAAACCCCTCTAATATAATGTCACAATGAGAGAGTAATAATTTTAAAGAAACCAATAAGGGTTGTGGTGAAATGATAAGTATTTCTTCGTTCTTAATTAAGAGGTCTCGGGTTCGAGCCTCTTTGGGTACGAAGTCACATTTGTTAGGGAGCGCTTTACCTGTGAAACTTCCATGCAAATTCGAATTTAGTCGGATTTTGGGTAGGAAACCAAAATATATATATATAAAAAGAAATCCCACCCCTTTATTGGCTGACCCCTTGCCATTGACCTCAAAGACTTGAAGGTTTCCAATTGGGTGCTCACTTACCAGAAACTACAGAGGTGCTCACATACTCATTGACAAGCACTTGCCAAAAAGCAAAACACTGTAATTTTCCCAGATCTTTCTTTGAAGCTCCAAAATCTTGCTCTTCTCAGCAATAAAATTAGTGGTCTAAAATCAAATACTAATATACTCGCGTCTCATCTGTTCTTCCCATTTTTCCGATTGTTGAACATCAATTTTTAACCCTAAACATGTCTGACCATGGATCTTCACATACATGCTGTTTTCGTTGCACCAAATTCATATTAACTGCAGGCTTAACAGCTCTCTTTATCTGGCTAAGTCTAAGAACCTCAAAACCATCCTGCTCCTTACATAATTTTTATTTACCTGCCCTTAACCTATCTGATAATTCCAACACCACAAGATCCAATCATACTCTATATTTTCAGCTCAATTTGAACAACAAGATGAAGGACAAAGGTGTTCGTTACGACAAAATTATATTAAGCTTCTACTATGGTACAAATACAAGTATCCCTTTAGGTAATAGCACAATAAATGGATTTTACCAAGGGCATGATAAGAAAGCAAAGAAAAAAGGGAAACTGGAAATTCAGAAAATGGCTTGGGATGCTGCTTTAAAGAATGTTACAAATACATCAAAAGTGGTTTTTAGGGTGGATGTGGCTACTAGAGTAAGTTACAAGATTATTTTTTGGTTTGGCAAGAAACATAATTTTACTGTGGAAAATAAAACATTGGAAGTGGATAGTACAGGTAAATCAAGTGCACAACAACTTCATTGCTATCTTATGGGTTTAGGTTTTCCCCTAATTGTTTTGGTTAGCTTGATTCTTTTGTTGTAAATGACTGGTATGATTCAATTCAATATTTTGTTCGTTTTGGTTTGATTGTATCCTAGTTCTGTAGTTTGGATCAAATTTTATTGTTGGATGAACTACATTGCTGATATTGATCCAAAAAAAAATTATGTTTAGCTCATTTATGTCATTTTGGTTTGAAAAAAAATCAATTTATTTCATTATTTGTTAATTGAAAACAGTTCTGACTTGTTTCTGCTTGTCGGTACAAATTGACAGTAGTTTTAGTGTTATCTTTCCTTTTGTATTTTATTCTTTATTTAATACCGACTTGTTTTATTGTTATGTTACTTTGACTTTTCAAACATATTACCATATTTGTGTCAAATTCTTACCCTTGTTTATCGTGGTATTACGTTGATTTTTCAAACATATTACCATATTTGTGTCAAATTCTTACCCTTGTCTATAGTTGTATTACTTTGACTTTTCAAACATATTACCATATTTGTATCATATTTTATGTTAGAATCAAACGTTTACTATCATATTAAAAATTAGCAAAAATGTAACTTTATTTCTTAATAAGTCCACAAAGAAAACGTCATGTTCGATCATGATTCTGATTTGGACCACCCAAAATATTGCTCTTGGGATTGAACCCACGACCTTAGCTCTGATACTATTTGTTATGATCAATCGTTTATCATCATGTCAAAAGCTATAATAGGTCATAACAAATGCGCAACTTTATTTCTTAACTAAGTCCACGTCCAAGCAAGCGTCATGTTCGATCATGACTTCGATCAGGGCTACCCAGCCCTTCGTGGGCCTTACTATAGACAGGATGTTGACATTATCCAATATTATTTAAAAATATATTTCTTTTGAAGAATTCAACATGCATCTGTCAATATTTTTAAAGAGACCTAACAATTCAATAGTTGTATGTTTTTTTTTTCTTGGACATCATTGTTTTACTCATTCTCTTTAGGTAAAAAATTATGATTCATGTTCATTGTTTCATCATTAATAGGTGGCTATAAAAGAACCATGTAGAATTATATGTTGATATCATAAGCCTCATCCTTTCTTTTTTTTAATAATTATTCAATCCTTTCTTTTTTTCATGGGCCATGTTTGCTTTGGGCCACATTAAATAAAGGAAATTGGAAAGTTTATAATTCGATGCTTTTTGTCCAGAAATATCGTATCCCACTAGGCTTGTCCCTAATTATTTACCTTAAAGAAAGTGAAAACACATGGATGAGCATTTTATGGACAATGGATATCTTTCTGATTGTATTTTGAGCAGCAACTTCTAACAACTTCTTAATTGAATAATATTATATTTTCTTCGTCTCAGTTTATATGACATTTTTTTTAACTTGACACATTATTTAAAAAAAAAGTGATTTATCATTGATAACATCTTTTCCATTTCCCCATCCCACCTTATAGATTTGAATCTTTAGCATACTACATTTAGGGTGTGCTTAAATGTATTCTTGAATTATTATTATTTTAAGAGAAGTAAGTGGATTTTTTTTATTCTTTGGTGTTCACCACGTAAGAAAAGGAATATAACACTTAAAAACAATGTATATAATCTATACAAAATATTATGGGAGGTGAGGGTAGAGGATCGAGGGGTGGTTGGTGTCAGATACTCTATGACTTCAATTAACAATTACTCAAGAATAGTAAAGGTGCATTTTTAAAAAATAAAAGCTTAAGCATTCTTCATCTTCACAAGACAATGATAAGGTCTGCGTGGGAGAAATACTCAACTTTTTCAAGTTATAGTGGTCACAATTAATAGTTTGAGTTGCAATAAGATTAGAAACACAATAATAATAATATTTATAGCTCTTTGGATCAAAATGCTACCAAGCTTGGTTACAAGCTCTTGTGACATTAGGATTAAAAATATACTAAAACTTTATAGGAAGATCAACAACTCAATTGGAGAATTTAAGAAAAACTTATTTAGATAATTGGAATTAGATAACCGATTCTTTTTCAAGATTGATATGTCCTATAGAAAACATGCTGATTAAGTTGATTAATTTTAACAAGAATTTTTTTTAATGCTTGTATCAGGAAAAAAAGTACTTAAATCTTTTGATAATGTCAAATGAAGGATCAAGTGGATTATTCAATATAGAACCTAAAGAATAGTCGAGAGACTAAGAAGAAAGAGAATATGAAGTAATTATAATACTCACTATGAATATAAATGAAGAAGATATAAGATATTTTAGGGGAAGGTATCACGATCTAAAACCTCAAGTCATGATGACACTTACCATAACACGTAAGCCAACTCATATCAAACATGCATTTTTGGTAGAATCAACAATCAACGAGAAGATAATAACAATATAAAGAAAAACAAAGTGGAAAGAAGGAAATAACATATATATGTATATACATGGTCCAATCGCATGACCTGGTGGACGAAGGTACAAAGCTGCCAAACGAGTACAATCGACAAACAGTCAAACATAGACTAAATAAGTACATACTTGTCTTGAATATAAAAAAAAACTAGCCAAAACTATATAGAAATTGAGATAAGCTGAGCTAGGACGACATCAACTCACCCTCTATCTCCGAAGATCCCTGCTGAAGCTCGAAATCAACGTTAGCGTCTGGTGCTCGGACCTTCCATGAGTACCAAAACAAGCAAGTACCCAGTAGGTAACATAGGTTGACTAGGATTGGAAAGTAAATATATACCAAAAAGTGAGGAAGCAACGGAAAGTAGAGTTCAAACAAGCGAAGCAATAACGAAAAGTCTAATTGTAGCTCACGAGTCTAGAATGAATAGAACAATAAAGTAAAGCAGTTATCTAAAGCTAACTGGACTCTCATAATCCTAGAAAGTACATTTGTGCTCAATTGGAAAGTAAATTATCCAAATGGACCCCCATAAGCCTAATGAGTACACAAAAGAACAAAAGATATCCCTAACTAAGACTAAGATTAGACAAACTCCCCAACTAACACTACAACAAAAAATAACTTTTAACGGCAATAAATAGACACATTAATAACGAGTGCTAAAGTCTTTACCGGCATTAGTTAAGTGCCATTAAATCCAATGTTGCTAAAGGCTTTAGGGACATATACGAAGAGTGCTAATTGCCGCTAAAAATACATATTTAGTGACAATTGAGCTATTGGCGCTAATTAATTGATGCTAAAGATCATTTTTCATGTAGTGTAAAATGACTGAGCCTAGACTCGAACCGCGATAAAGGCACTCCAAGAAATCCAATAAACCACAATGTCAAGACTCGAACCCGACGAATAAAAGTGTGCTCAGACTCAAACTGCACCCGGTGAGAATGCGCTAGGGTCTCAAACCGTGGCTAGTACAAATGTGTCAGAGCCTCGAACCACACCTAGTAGAAATGCGCTAGGTCCTTCATCGTGGCTAATAAACTCAAAATGTCTCCAAAATCAAATTGTAACACCCCGTATCCGAAAATAGACCAGATTTTAGATTTCTGGTGTTGCAGGTGGCATTCACGGGCACCATCCACAGACCGTAAGAGGACCCACGGTCCATCCTATAGGTCCGTGGTTCGTGTCAGCAAACTCCCCCAGAACTCAGCTAGAAATTCGGCCAAGTGTTGACCCACGGCCGGACCTACGGTCCGTAGGTCAGGTCACAAACCGTGGTTTGTGTCTGTGGATCGATGCCCTTAAAGCTCAGCTTCAGTCCCAATTGACGGTTGACCAGCATGGACCGTCATTCGATGCACGGTTCGTAGGTCTGACCGTAGGTGAGGTAGCAGCCAGTTAGATGAAAATTGTGATTGGGTCAACTTCAAATAGTCATAACTTTTCGCATAAAATGAATTGTGTGTCCTATGACCTATGATATGATAGATAATTGAATCCTCTTTCCAACGCCACCAAGTTTGCAAAAATACGACCTCAAAGTAAAAAGTTATGCTCGTTTTAGTGAAGCCCTGTCGGGCAGACTCAACCGACAACTCCAATCGACGGACCGTCGATTGACCTACGGCCCGTAGGTCCAGTCCGTCGGTCACTCCGACAGCAATTAAGTTAGGGGTCTTTGTCTTTTCCTATTTCGTTTAACCTCTAAGATACGTCGTTTAGACCCTAAATCATTAGGTTTTAGTCACTTTAAGCCTAGAAACATAACTAGAACTTACCATAGTCAAAATCATTAATCAAAACTTAGAAAATTAGAAGCAAGAGAGGAGAAAAAGGTCAAGAACCATAGTTCAAGAACACAACAAGGTTCCATCAGTTCCAGCGCCGAAATCAAAAAAATTCTCTGTGGAATTCATCATCAGGTATGTGGGATTTCACTAGTGGGTTCCTTTCGCCCATTAGGTCCCTAGAATTCAGTCAGATTCTTGATTCCATGATTATGAAAAAACCTAGGGTTTCTAGAATCTTAACATATCATTATGAATTAGTTATTTAAATGTTCCAAATCAGATTATCATGTTATTACTTCGTTTCTTGCATGAATTTCAGAACCCTAGCTATGCATTTCTTTAGTTCTTGAATTACACATGCTAGGTCAGATATTTCAGCTATTCAGTTATACATGCCTCAGTTATTAATGCATCATTATCAGATTAATTGTTGCATTCTCAGCTTGCATGTTCAGTCTTGAGCTATCCAGTATTTACAGAAATTCAGTCATAACCAGTTAACCACTTAATTCATTGGGAGTAGTATAATACTGAGTTGGATTAGGGTTCAGCGTACCCATATAGTCCTAGAACTACGAGCCACGTAGGTGTAAGTCCCCTCTGTGGGCAACATCAATTTAGTGATCACGCCAGCATGCCTCTATACCTTTGGCAGGGTATATTGGGTCCTCTCGATGGGGTTTATACATCGGACTCCACATTTAGCTCATGTGGTTTTATGTCGGTTATTAGTAGCTCCCACAGTTCAGTCAAACTCTATTGCATTGACCATATTTCAGTACAGTCAGTATTCAGTCTCAACATGTTATAAATTTGGTCATTGCATCAGTTAGCTCAGTATTCAGTATTTTCAGTGTCTATATCATGTTCAGATTATTTCATTGCTTTGTTCAGTTATATGTTATTTCAGCTTT